TGCTTACTTGCTACATGTTACTCAAATTACAAAGTAGGTAATTTACATTACTTAAACAATATAGAAGACCTATTTGTATAACTATTTGAACATACATATTTATTAACTAAATCTATACATATAATAAAATTGTAACTAAGCCGAATCTGTACATTAAATATATTATGAAAAATCTTATTGAAATAAACATTATTATCGATATAGAGGCCGAATCTATAGTTTTTAGAATTTTTGTCTGTCTGTCTGTTTGTCTATTACCGCATCACAAAAAAACCACTGGAGGGATTTTAATGAATTTTGGTATGGTGATCGCTGGTTATCCGGATTAACATATAGGATACTTATTACCGCGGTAAAATGTCTCATTTCTGAGAAAAAATACAAAAACTGCAATGTAAGAGTATATTTACTAATATTTAAAACCTAAGAATTTGGTCTTTTAGTCATCAGAACGCGGGCAAAGCCGCGAGCACTGCTAGTATTGTAATACAATAAAAAAAATTATAACTTTCAAATGGCAATCAATATCATCTAACTTAGCAACTCTAGACTAGGCGCTTCAACAAGAGTGCTGACTACAACATTTTACAGCACAAGACGCTTGGTAATTGTGAGTAATCCTATATGGATGACATCATGAGTGGGCGTGCGCTAGCAGACGAGATACTACGTTTTATCAGGTAACTGACTCAACGAACACTCGTCTCGATTTAACGCTGGTAATTGTATTATATATTATCGATGTTGGCAAATCAGGTGGAATTTTTCTTTTAAGGATTTTTCGTGTTGAGATATTTGGAAACCTGGAGAGTGACATAAGCTACTTTCTATCGCAGGTTCTCCTAGTATATAGTATAGATTAACACCGAACGTATGAAATGTGAAATGACAACGCCCGAGCAGGTGACGGTATAGCAAGATTAGTCTACCCTCATATTTTAATATCTTTTTGTTGTTATCTCTAAAATATAGTGCGAAATGGCAAGTCAGTTTGTGGTACTAGATGTCGTTATGTGCTAATATCGAGCACGAAGCTCAAGAATAATGTAAATAACTAATAAATATGCATAATTAAGTAACCCTTTATACTATCTCATTAAAATAGATGGTGTTATGGACACTTTTACTCAAATTCGTATATCTTTATTGAAGCAGCACTGTAACATAAATGTCGGACTCGAGCTGAATATAAATGTGTTCATAGTTTGAACCATTTTCACCAAAAGCACGATTTTTCGGATAAAATGACGCATAAAAACAGTCGTTACAAGTGGCTTTACGAATTGAGAAATTTATGGCTGTCTGGATAAGTGTATCGGGAAACAAAATTGAGGTGACACCTATAAAAAAAGAGATTGATCAGATAAACTAGAAAATGTAATTGTTTGAACTGATACGTTTTTAACAATTTCCCAGATAACAAGCAATAATAATTAGTCTATAGTATATATTATACAGATAAATAAAATTGAAGTGTCTGTTTGTAATGTCAAAATAACACATTTTATTGAAGTAAAACTTCTTTACGCACGCTTAACTTTTCAATAATACAATTCTTGTATATATATATATATGTATATAAGTGTATATGTATGGGTTTTGCGGGCGATAAATCGATCTAGATTAGTTTTATGTCTGAAAAAACGCGTTTTTTCGAGTTTTCATGCGGTTTTGTTTCGCATTACTCCACGCAAAATATGGTCTCTAATTCGCACTCTAGGACATAATTATCGTGGTCAAACGGCCAAGGCGCTAGTTAGACAACCACAGGTGTCTGGGTTCGAATCCCGGTCGGATTCAAAGATTCTACTTTTTTTTTTGTATTAATTCAAATTTTTATTTTTTTAAATGTTTTTTTGGCCAAAAACTCCGAGCGAAGCTCGGTCGCCCAGGTACGGATATATAATATTATATTCTTTACTTAAATGATATTCTATAAATATATGATTGTAATCCTAGAAAGAAATCCGCGTCACAAAACCTAGAGATGAATCCGAGCGAAGCGAGCGTAAGTCGCTAGTAGGTAATATATTATTTATTGTATAAAATAGTATACGTATAAATAAAAAACAAACAAAATCTTTATCAATTTAGTTTTTTTTTTAAATTATTAATCATGTAGTTTTCAATGTTTTAGACATTTTAAATTTAATTCCTTGAAAATGTTGAAAGCCAATATTATTTAAACAAACTCAATTTTATTCTAAGCCATTCCAAGCTCTAAAATAATAACGTCATATATTTAAAATTTAATGACATATTTCTGTAACAATGGTGTATACATGAACGATAATATACATTCAGATAGCTCTCTCTAATTAAACTGAGTAAGAACACAGAGTATCAAAATAAACTAGCAGTACCAACATTGTTGAGTTTCGTTCAGTGAGTGAGAGATTTCCTTTCTCTTCTTTTTTTTTTGTCCTAGTTATTAATGCACGAGTGAACTCTTGATGCTGCAAACGTACATACGGTCAGTTCTTCTTATCAAACTGATCATATGGTTGTTTGCACCTATATGGTATCTTTTGTAATGTAAATTAATGTCCCTTATCATCCGGCAATAACCACTTTCATTTTATCAGCACAACGAATGTATATATTAGACACAATTTTTGCTAGCACGGTTGACAATATCTGTTATATTTTGTCACAGTTTATCTTATATAGCTTGCTTCCCAATACAAACTTTCATCCCAATTTTCACACCCTTAAGGGATGATTTCCGGAATAAAAAGTATCCTAAGTCCTTCCCAGGATCTCAAACTATCTTCTTACCAAATTTTATCTAAATCGGTTCAGTAGATCCAGAGATTACTCCCTACAACGTCACAAATTCACAAAACCTCTTTACAATATTAGTATAGATTATAATGATTCATGTTTATGATATAACAACTAAGCATAATAAAAATAGAGTAGAAAACTAAATTGCTATTTGCCAATCAGTGAATTTATCACAAAATATTCTCAAGTTGGCAAAATATATAGTGAAAGCTCTACAAATTGAAACGCTGCTGGCTGTCGGGTTCGATTTTTTTTCTGCCAATTATTCAAACAATCGTCATTTAGAATTTACAGAAAAATTGTTAACGAAATTGCTACAATTGGAAATTAAGCGAAATTATTCCGAAGGGTTTTCTGAGACCAGATGGGATCTATGTAATACTTAAAAACTTTACGTCTCCATTTCCATCTTTTATGCAATTATTCTTCATGACGTGTTACAATGACAAATTATATTTACAATTTAAATTTAATTTGTATAATAATAAATGATGGACTCTCTGTAAATGATCACTCTATTTTGCTTGCGTACTAAATAGGTGTGCTGCAGAGCGCTGTAGTCCATTTGACGACAGTTTGGCTCAGTGCTGTGCCAGCGGTCATGGGTTCGAGTCCCGCCGGGGGCATTCATTTGTGTGATGAGCACGATTGTTTATACTTCAGTCATGGGTGTTTATATTTATAATAAGTATGTATTTGAAAGTTAGATATGTTTAGTGTATCAACTATCTGGTACCCATAACACGAGCCTCTTAGCTTACCATGGAACTAGATGGTGCTGTGTGTTAATGTCCCAACATATTTATTTATTTATTTAATCTCTGAAGTTTGTCTCGTCGTCAGTTCAGTGCAATATTTGCGTACTATTGATGAGTAGCATTTAAAATACACGCATTTGACATTAAATAAAAAATCAGCCCAATGCGGGAATTGAACTTCCAAACTCCATTACAGTAGAATGTGCCACCATGCCTAATTTTGTTATGCCTCACAATAATAGTGATCAATCCTAACTAATACCTAAATACCTTTTATAAACGTGTGTTTGTTTGTTTGTTTGTGCCTTTCTCAGATATTAACGAAACAGAAGTTTGTCGTCATTTCTTAAATTGATATAGTTTAAAGATAGGAGCTTTTATTGAAATTGATTAGGGTGGTTTCCATGGGATGCTATAAAAGTAGTGGACACTGAGGCCTTAAAGCCTGAGTAAAGCTAGAACGGGTCGTTAGCAATAAATATCACATATTCTTTTATTTTTCTATATCGTATTTAATTCGATGAGACAATACTTTATTTCTTTCAGATAAAAACTGTTATCAAACCTAATATTAGATAGCTATTTCACAAATTTAAAATATGTCCTAAAATGAGAAAACTAGGCATTTTATATGGAATAACTAAAAGTAAACACTCTTTGCGCTAATATTTTTTGTGTAGGTATTGAACAAGTTTGGTGCCAAATGCGAAATAAATTATAGTGCGAAAGTTTGGACGTTGGCAACATGTGGAAATATCTTTGTTATTAAGGTTTCAGAGTACGACCAAAATTATTGCTGTGCCAGTTAAATTATTATTTATATGTAAAAAGGATATTTAGAATTTATGTTGTTAGTAGTAACTTGAGAATTTGAAATATCTTATCTATATAAACAGTAGTACCTGGGCGACCGAGCTTCGCTCGGAGCTTTTATTGGTTATATCATATATTTTAGAGCAAAAAAACTAAAAACTTGAATAAATACAAAAAAAAACAAAAGTAAAAACTTTGTACCCGACTGAGATTTGAACCCGGATGCTTGTGATTGTCAATCTTGTGCCTTTGCCGCTTGACCACGATGCTTATGCCCGAGCGAGCAAAATTAGCAACCTTATTTTGACTAAATTAAAGTAAATATGTTTTTAAACTGTTCCTATAATTAAGACTTAAGTGGAAAAATGACAAAAACTGGCCGAAAAATTGGTAAAATTAGGGAAAGTGCTTTTTTTAGCCTGAATTCAAAGATTACAAAATTATAAAAATTTGGGCGCCACAAAGTGTATCGAGTCATGGCGAGGCTAGTACCGAATAAAAATAATTTAAAGGTGTATAATAATAAGCGTTGACAAGAAACATACTATTTAAAAGTTTACGTAATTTTTGAAAGCTACAATGCAAATACAAAGAACAACTAAGTATTATGATATTTTAATTTCAACTATTTCCTTTTTACAGAAACAAGCAATGTTAGTAAGGCAACTGGAGGAAGAATTGCGCTTGCGCATGCGCCAGCCCGCTCCTGAGCTTCAACAACAATTAGAGGCACTGTACGCTGAAAATGAACATCTGCAGAGAGAAATAGCTATATTGAGAGATACAATCAAGGTATCTATATAATTTTCTTATATATCAGTCTCATATAATAACAAAAGTTTGTATGTTACTCGTTCACGCTGTAACAACTTGACGGATTCGTATGAGGTTTAGTGACTTAGTGACAGACTATGAACTGGAGTAACATATAGACATTTTCAACCGACTTCAAAAAGGAGGAGGTTCTCAATTCGACTGTATGTTTTTTTTTTATGTTTGTTACCTCAGAACTCCGTCATTTATTAACCGATTTGGAAAATTTTTGTTTTGTTTGAAAGGGTATACTTCCAGATTGGTCCCATTTAAATTTCAAAAAAAAATACCACCCCTAAGGGTGGAAAAACAACTAATGATGAATTTAACCTACTTCTAATTGTCATATTGACTTGAAACTTTGCAAGTATTTCTATTTCCATTGATAGTACAGTGGTTCGGTATTGTTGACCTGATCTGATGGCAAGGCCAGAAGGTGGATAGGTGGAACTCTTCAACGGCTAATAGTAGATACTTTGAGTTTGGGCTTATTTTGTTTGATTTGACAAGCCTAACACGTTAGAATTCTTACTGTGCTACTACTGTCTACACTAAAAAGGGAAAAATAAAAACTTTTTAACAAAAAAATAAAAACCGACTTCAAACAAAAGCACTAAAAAGTAAAAAATAACTGATTGATAGTTTTCATTTACTATACATACCTAATCAAATATTTTTGAAGTCGGTGTGCTTTGGCTAAGTAATTAAAGCCTACCTATTAAATACATACCTAATCAAATATTTTCGAAATCGGTGCCAGCCCATACAAAGCAAAGCACACCGACTTCGAAAATATTTGATTAGGTATGTATAGTAAATGAAAACTATCAATCAGTTATTTTTTACTTTTTAGTGCTTTTGTTTGAAGTCGGTTTTTATTTTTTTGTTAAAAAGTTTTTATCGTATTGTTAGACAGTTTCATATTTTAACAATATAGTATGAAATCAGAACAAAAAATAATAATTTTAATTGTCATGTAAGATTTACTTTCGCATTCATTGTAAATGAGTAGTAAAAGAAAGTTTTAGCTTTAAATTGAGATAAAAATATTACATCTATACATACTCGTATTAATACAAAATTCATTGCCGTACAAAGTATTGATAAGAGCATTCGCTGCATATTTTCGCTGAAATGCGAAAATGTCGCTGTAAGGCAAAAAACGAGCTGAATTCATGTAACCGTGTAGCTTATATTTATTTAGTAAGTGAGTTGACTACAAAATGAACATTTCTAAAATATAAGACAAATTTTATTCTTACTTGTTTTTAAATTTTAATACATACTAAATACTATCTATAACTTTCTTACAATATAAAAATTATCATCTCGATAGGAACTGGAACTACGGATTGAGACCCAGAAACAAACACTACAAGCACGAGATGAGAGCATCAAAAAGTTATTGGAAATGTTACAAAATAAGGGAATGGGTACGTAAAAGCTATTATATAATTAATATTATAACCATCAATTCCCCTAAATATAGTTAAACTATTTTTATATTATTATAAACCTATTTACATAGAAACTCCTTGAATTAATTCATAATAAAATACCTAGAGAATACGTAACTGGAACTTTTTCCAGGTAAAGAAGAAGAAAGGCAAATGTTCCAGCAAATGCAGGCAATGGCACAAAAACAGGTAATTATCTTAACGGTCTTACGTTGAATGTCGTGTTGCATGCTTACCCTGAATAGACATTTTCGTTTGAATATTTAAAATGCTTGGATAATTTTCTATTCTGCAACCGTTTAACATAACCTACACCACTACTTAGCCGTATGTTGCACGTCACTTTGCTTCCTCATGTTTATGTATGTCAGTAATATATATCACATGGGCGTTTTATTTTGTGATACCTTTATCAAAATCACTGTTTCTCTTAGAGTTGCTCTTGATAGTTTCATTTCATTCATTTGTCTTCGGCCGAATGTACTGTCGCGTCGCTTGTATGTTGTACAATCGACCTCTTTCTCTTTTTCTCTGGCTTCAATTCTGATCAATTCTCGCTTACTCTTCACGGTCTCTGTAACACTTCGAGCTTGTCCCCCCGAGCACTTTTTACCATTATCGATCCCCCACACGTCGACATACAAAACAAAAACCAAGCCCTCAATTCGGCCAAAACACAACAAAATTCAAATGCGACACGAACTCACGACATTGCATGTTTAGCTCATACGTCCCCGTCACATGAACCCTAGCGAAGACTGTCTCGTAAATGCCATTGGTTGAGTTTGATTAAAATTTGTGTACCGACCTGGGGCTGCGCGGGCTTTGCGGGAGGTCCGCGCAGCCACAGGGAGGCGCGAGGCGAGTGTCGTGTGGCGTGTCGGGAGCGGCGGCGGCGGCTGACGCACTGGCGTGTGGCAGGAGCTCAAGGCGACGGCGGACACGCTGCGGGCGCTGCAGGCGCAGTTGGAGCGCGCGCTGGCGGCTGCCGGGCTGCCGGGCGGCTCGGCCGGCGCCACGCTCACCGCCGTGCTCGAGACCAAGGAGGCGCGCATCGCCACGCTGGAGCGGCAGGTCGTGCTACTCGAGAGCGAGCTGGCCGCCCTCGGCTCCCCGCCGCCGCCCTCGCTCGCGCCCTCCCACGCCTCGCTTTACGATAAGGCCGAACCTCCCTTCAAGCGACAAGTAAGTTTTCTGCTGAACGACGTCCGCATCACCAAGGACGGGCGAGTCGTCGCGCCCCCGCGGCCGCGAGCCGACTATAGCGCCACCATGTGATCGCGTTCCGTGAGACCGACGATCCCGTGTCAATTCATCGCTTTAAGACCTTAGACTCGATATTTTTGTGTACTTGTTCATTGTTAGAGCTATTTTTAATTATAATAAGAGATTATATTCAATATTTTTGTTAAGTAGGGCTCTAGGTGCGAATATTTTAGATATAGTTATTAACGAAACGTGTGAGATTACGTTAACACCAATTTATTTAGAGACTGTTCAATAAAGACTGTTGAGGTCGTATGCATCGAGCGAGTTCGGGTGCGTTTTTCTGAAATACTTGATCTGTTCATTCCGCTTTCGGTGTTGATCGCTCATCGTCCAGTATAGCTTGGTCCCGCGCCACTCATCACTAGTTAGCTCACACGACCCGGCCTCTTCATGTAGTCGCCATGTTTCATCAGTCTCTGTCACAGTATCGGTAGATAAATGTATCACAATGTAGGCGCCCGTGCATCGTCGGCATTTAACTCTATTGGAACACTGGAAAACTTTCTACAGATTCTCATTAAAGCTTCCAATTTTCATATATTATAGTGTTAGTACAACGGAAAGTTTTCCAGCGATACATGTACGTTTTTCTATATTTCATTCGATTAAAAGATACATTTTTTGAATTCTATCTGATTGTTAATTATAAAAGTGGTTTGCATGTAACAAACATTTAAAGTACTTATAATGTCTTCCATGGTACTAAATAATGTCATAATCTCGTTAGATGCTAACAACATTTCGTTAACAAACGATAATTACTAATAAGCTTGCGTCGCTTCATCATCGATACTAACATCAACTTGATCTTTCTTTTCGATGTTTTTAATATAAACTGTAGATTTAATTAAAATAACATCAATATCATTTTCGCCACCACAGTTTGCCTTAGTAGATAGATTTTTAACTCCTTTGGTCTATCTATCTCTTCTTAATCTAATCTCGTGTTTGGGTTTATTTAATTTTATACGAACTTTCGGGTGGATGGTGATTGAGCAGTTGGATGAGTTCCGCCTTGAGATCCAGAGACGAGATCAGGAAATACTGGCCATGGCGGCGAAGATGAAGGCCTTAGAGGAGCAACATCAGGACTACCAGCGACACATCGCCGTCCTTAAGGAATCGCTTTGCGCTAAAGAGGAACACTACAGCATGTTACAAACGGACGTAAGTTACGATTTTTTTGAGGTAAATAATAATCCTGAACATAAAAATTTACAAGGAGATAAAAGTAAAACGTTATTTTGGTATGATACATTTTGAAGGTTTTGGGAGTTAATAGTGTAGCTACAATAGTATAATAAGAAATCTATTACTGATGTGCAATTCTGTAAAATAACTAATGGCTTCTGATAAATGATCTAATAAATATAAATATGATAAAATCTTAAAACGATATTTGATGTCTGACTAGAATTGATTGATGATGTTTACTTAATAACCATAAAAGCTTATAAATCATTTATCAATACTTTCAATAACAATATAACAAAATGGTGTAAAATTTAGCAAAATTTATTGTAATTTCAGAAAGTTATACCGTTTAAAATAATTAAAACACAAATAAATAATAATAATTCAATTTTTGCTCTTGATAACTATTTTGTCGCTTACTGACATCGCCTACTACGAGTATATATATAAGATTGCAGATTCGATTTCTGCAAGCGGTAAATGTACCCATTTCTGGCCTCCTAATGATATAACGTGATGTATTTTTATGACACTGCCAGACGTCGTGACACAAAGTGAGAAGTCATTATGTTTTCTACAAAAATTACGTATAAATTAGAAGGCAGAATAATTGTCTTAAATAATTTATTTCTAGGTTTGTATATAATAGATCTAATTACCTTATATTTTCTAATAAACTTCCATTTTCAGCTTATAAAAGTTTAGTTTGTGACGAAATATAGGAACATATATAAAACCTTAAGAATTGTCCTTTTCCGAAGGTTGAAGAGCTCAAAGCTCGTCTAGATGAGAAAAGCAGAATGGTAGAGAAGAAAACAGCAGCAGCTCTCGCAGCTGCTCATGAACTTGCTGAACTCAGAGATCATTCTGAGATTAAAGATCGGAAAATCAACGTACTGCAGCGGAAGGTAGGATGTTGTGCTAAATTGTGTAGATGAAGGTGTAGAGAATTTCTTTGTAATATTTTACTGCTAGAATTTATGTTTATTTCTGATTATTACATACATGTAATTTTTAACATAATATGTACGCCTAAAAATCTTTAGCATTTATGTATTGTATGTATTGTATGTATTTGGCGAACAATACCAATATTGCAACGCATTTACTATATATAAGAACATATTTTAGAATAATTTAAATAATTTTAATCTTTAGTATTGGCTCCGAATAATAATAATAATTCGGAAAGTATTAACCAATATTTTAGTTAGAAAATGGGAGCTTTAAAATATAGTTCTGTGATCATGATATTATCTTTTTAAATAAAACTATCTTTTTGGATTTTTTCGCGGATTTATTTAGATTTTTTGTTCCCGACGTTTCGAATGCTTTTCAGCAATTGTAGACACGGGATTATTTAAAATTTCAATTATTCGAGTAAATCTTAAAAAAGATATTAATCTTCTCTGAAATTTGAATTTTGTTCACATTGCTATTAGTTAGTTTTGTGAAATAAGTAAAGTTTTATAATTTTCTAAAAAAGAGAGTTTTTGAGAGTTCTTATGCTTATACTACATGAATTTATATTTTTTTTAAATAAGTATAGTAATGTATGTGCTTAATATAAGAATTTCATATATTTTAAATATATTTTATATCATTTTTAAGCTCGTTTATTTATTTTATATTTTATTATGTTTTTAGTGCTAGTGAGTTACTTATTTAGCTAGTGTATGGTATTAAATGCAGGTGCTATTTTTCGTTTCTAAGGTATGTTTTTTTAATTATTTTTATGGTTTTTATTTAATTTTATGTTTTATTTATTTATTACTTTCAATATAAAATTAACTACATATATTATGTATTTGAATTTACGAGATCAAATTGTTTTTAGATTGAAAATCTTGAAGACCTGCTAAAAGAAAAAGATAATCAAGTAGACATGGCAAGAGCAAGACTCAATGCCATGCAGGCACATCATTGCTCATCAGAAGGTGCCTTATCTTCTCTTGAAGAAGTTATTGGCGATAAAGAAAAGCAAATTCAACAGCTAAGAGAACAGAGAGATAGAGCTGAACATGAGAAAAATGAAGAACGAGAACTCCACGAGAGGGAAATAGCAGATTATAAAATGAAATTGCACGCCCTCGAAAGTGAAGTTGAAAAACTTGGCGCCAGGTTGGAAAGGGCTCAGGCTGAAAAGGATAGGCTTGAAGCTAAGTTAGAAAGCTCACAATCTGAACTAGGCAAATCTAAGGCTGAGTTAGATAAAGCTGCAAGTGAAGTCGGTAGGTCTGGTGCAGACTGGGAAGCAGCTAAACAGCGTTTGGCTCGACTTGAACTTGAGAATGAGCGGTTAAAACATGAGTTAGAAAGATCTCAAACTACATTTGGTAGAAGTACTTTGACTACATCGCAAGAGTTAGATCGTGTACAAGAGAAAGCTGATAAAATTTCAGCTGAATTGCGACGAACGCAAGCAGAACTGAGGGTTACACAAGCTGATGCCGAGAGAGCCAGATCTGAAGCTAGCGCACTTCAAGATAAACTAGAGAAATCGCAAGGGGAAGTCTACCGTCTTAAAGCTAAATTAGAAAATGCACAAACTGAACAAGACAGTCTAAAGGAGGAATATGATCGGTAAATATGCTTGTACTTCTTGTTTTCCCTAATTTAATACATTTTCCATAATATTTGGTTTCAAAATAATTCACGTTCAATTTATCACACTGATTTCCTAAAATTTCGTAAGAATTGTAACGATTATTACGAACTTTTAACGGTTTGAACAATGAATCCTCTAAAATGAAATGTAAGCCAAATTAAATTACGTCGATAAAATTCTTAAAAGCTTTTCAATACGAAGTCTAGACTTCACTATCTCAAAGAGCATTAAAACTTTTACCTCCTATAAACTTTGTTTTCACAGGATTTCAGAAGAAATTTTCATTTTGTTTATGCTCTTTCAAATGTATTTTAAATTTATTTGAGCCGAGTAGGTATAATGATTTTTAAAGATAAATTATTTGATGATAAACTTAACGGTTGCTTATTATAATTAACTAGTGGCTCACCCTAACTTCGTTCGGGTTCGCCTCTAGGGGAACACAAACAAACCTATCCCACGGGAACCGTACATTTTTCCGAGATAATAAATAGCCTTTGTGCTATTCCAGACTATAATCTATCTCTCTGCCAAATTTCATCCAGATCCGTTCAGCCGTCCTGGCGGGACAGAATAACAAACATCCATACTCACAAACTTTCACATTTATAATATTTATACAGATTGCTCAATGTACTGTGCAATATTTAAGTGTACGATTACGATTAGTTCAATTGTAAATAAGGTAAAGATCGATTTTGTTACCGAAAAATATACACTACCAACAGTTTGATGATGAACTCAGTTTAAATAAGTCAAAAACAAAATAATAATTTGGATGTTATAATTTTTTTTCCACTCTATCAGAGATAAAATATAAAACACAAATTATTATATTTTAATATTCTCTTACTTTGCTGATTTCAAAAATTTATTTCCAATAGCGTTCAATCGTCCATAAGCCGTCTTCACTCCGAACGTGACAAGGCTACTGCAGAACTAGATAAGGCAAGAGAAGAATTAGAAAGAACCCAGGCAACTCTTGGCAAGGCTCAACTGCAGCAAGACAAGCTGCAGGCATCTTTGGACTCTGCGCATTCTGAGATTGATAAACTACAGGAGAAGCTAGATAAATCAGCTGTTGAAGTTAGAAAGGTAGGGTCTAACAGTTTATTTAAAACTAGCATTTTCTCACCGCTTATTACTCTATTACTGTAAAGTTACATCAAAATCGGTTCAGTAGTGAAAGAGTGAGAAACATTCATCCTAATAAAATTTTCGCTTATACTCGTAATATACTAGAATGTTACTTACATATATTTGGGAAATTTTAGATTTTACTATTTGGTATTTATATTACAATCTTGTTTTTTTTTAGATATAGGTTACATAACAAGCAACACAATCTTTAGCACCACTTCAGAAACTCGTTATAAATATAGAGATAACACAATTTAAATATTACTGAATTTATTCCAACAGCTGCAAGTGGATCGTGAAAAGTCGGCATATGATTTCGAATCCCTCCAATCACAGCTTGACAAAGCATTAGGCCAAGCTGCCCGACTTCAGAAAGAAAGAGACACAGCTCAACTAGATGCTGATCGGTTCAGGGACAAGCATGAAAAAGCACAGGTTAGTTCCTTACCATAAATACGGATAAACAAAATGAAATTAAGACCCTAGCCTTAAACAGATTACGCCAGCTATGTCTTATCTCGAGAATTACTGATCCAATTTGGATGCAGGTTTCGCTATAATAATCTGCTTTCCTCTAGAAAAAAATCCAAAATTCGCCGGTTTATAATTTTCACCTTTCCTAGGTATTGTCAAATCTACGTATAATTATTGTTGTTAGAAGTTGAAGCTTGAAAATAGTATTTGAAAATATATGCATATATCTAATCGGGCATGCAAATTAAAGAACTTGCTTACCTTTTCTTGACCTACATTTTATTATTATACAAAAGTAATTTTGTTTCAAAATTTAAGTAACCTAAAATAACACTTAGTAAACGATACTTATGACTTGGGACTTAGAATAAGACCTATCTATTTTACTACAGTTGAAATATCAAATTGTATTGAAATGACAAATTCAATCGACATTTTGTCAGAGAATAATAATATGAAATATGTCATTTCTATTTCTATTCTTCAACGTAAGACATCTTGTCTAAGCCCTTTTGTTAGAATTTACTTCGGCTGTTACGTAACAATGTCAACGGAAAACGTTACAGCTCAAAAAATTACTTATTATAAGAGAGCATTTATTGATTCACTAGCGACTCACCCTCGCTCCGCTCGGGTTCGTCCCTGGGGTGGGGTCTGGAGGACCACCCTTATCCTTATCACTTAGGGGTATGGAAAATAGATAGTAGCCGATTCTCAGACCTACTGAATACGCATATAAAATTTGGTAAAAATCGGTAAAGCCGTTTCGGAGGAGTACGGTAACTAACATTGTGACATGGAAATTTTACATATAAGATATACCACAATAATTATTTGTAAATTGGATCTGTTTGGATTTTTATTTTTTAACCGATTTCCAAAAAGGAGAAGGTTCTCAATTCATCGGAATTTTTTTTGCAGTAGCAATGCGAAGTTGATGAATATTTATTAAACAACATCAGTTTTCAGAATGAGACTGACAAACTTAAACAGATCACATAATACTAGTCTAAAACGTTGACAAAATAATTCTCAAATTCCTTTTCAAGACCACATATATAGATGTGACCTACATTACGTAATATATGCGCATTCTAGGACTATATATCCTTAGAAACTTGGCAACAGTAACCGCTATAAATTGTTATAATCGTTACAATGTTACATTATCCCATCTTCAACAGACTCCAAGAATGTCTAGACTGTGTGACGCTATATTTCTGTATTGACAGACCATACATTATCTTTAATTTTAGGTTATTCTAATAATGCTGTGTTCTTATTTCTTAGTTTAATTACAGTTACATATTCTTTATTGACTTTTAGATTTTGGTAACAATGGACTGTTGTTTTTTTTTTTAATTATAATGGTTTCAATTTTTAACGAAATATTTGTACAAACAGCTTTGATTCCATGTGATAAACTCAACGTCCGTCTTATAAATATTGTCAAAGTGACGGACTACCACCGTCCCAGTACCAATAAAATAAAATAAAGAAATCAAAGGATGTGTGTATTATAAAACGCACTGGTTACAAATTAATCAAATAATTAGTATTGCCCGCGGCTCCGCCCGCGTTCAGATGACCAAAAACCAAATTCTTATTTTTTACATATTAGTATACTCTTACATTGCAGTTTTTGTATTTTTTTTCAAAAGTGACATATTTTCCAGCGGTAAAAAGTATCCTATATCTTGACCCGGATAACCAGCTACCATCATACCAAATTTCATCAAAATCCCTCTAGTGGTTTTTCCGTGAAGCGGTAACAGACAGACAGACAGACAAAAATTCTAAAAACTATAGATTCGGTCTCTGTATCGACAATAATGCCTAATGCAATAAGATTTTCCAAAAAATATTTAATGTACAGATTCGGCTTAGTTACAATTTTATTATATGTATAGATTAAAAAAGTATCAATTTTCAAGGATATTATAGTACCTACATACTACAGTTTATACGTAGGTATGTGTAAATGCAACGAACTAAAAACACAGTTCGACATAGTTTTCAACTTTTTAACTTTTTGTGGTTACGACAAAGCTATGTAAATATATGGCTAGAAACCTATGTGCCGCGATTATTGTACTTATATCTATATATAAATATGTTATTTGTTTTATTGGCTTATCTTTCTTTGCGCACTAACGTATTGACTGTTTATTTGATAGCTTGAATTTATGGACGGAGTGATACGGGTTACGTTTTATAACGTGGTTGCCGTAGAATAAACCTGAAACTGTCTAAAAGCTGGCACTAAATTGTTACAGTTACAAATGTTTATACTTTTATAATTTTTATTTTTATGTACTTTTATTTCTTTTTTAATCTATATAAATCTTTAAAAACTTACATAAAATAACATAGAGATTCGCGTACTTTTTTATATCTAATACAACATTCATAGATCGAAGTTTAAGCCATAAAATAAAAGTCATATCTTCGTTTATTGGAACTAAAACCAATATTGATTCGGTCGTGACAGTTCCGATCTTCAAGGCAACCGTTGCTAAGGCTTAAGGTCTTGAACTCTGTTACTGTATAGTGTACCATGAATTTTATTTAAGACTATTTAAGATTTTATTTAAGAATTTTTGTTGAAATATAAACAGCACAAGCTCTTTTATTAATTGACTAGCATTGCCCGCGGCTCCACCCGCGTTCAGATGACCAAAAACCAAATTTTTAGGTTTGTCATATTAGTATACTCTTACATTGCAGTTTTTGTATTTTTTCTCAGAAACGAGACATTTTACCGCGGTAAAGAGTATCCTATATGTTGACCTGGGTAACCTATCACCACACCAAATTTTATCAAAATCCCTCCAGTAGTTTTTCTGTGATGCGGTAACAGACAGACAGACAAAAATTCAGAAAACTATAGATTTGGCCTGTGTATCGATAATAATGTTTATTTCAATAAGATTTTCCAAAAAATATTTAATATACAGATTCGGCTTAGTTACAATTTTATTATATCTATATACATAAAAGAAAGTCGTGTTAGTTACACTATTTATAACTCCAGAACGGCTGAACCGATTTGGCTGAAAATTGGCGGGGAGGTAGCTTAGAACCCAGAGACGGACATAGGATACTTTTTATCCCGTTCGACTGCGTTCCCGTGTGATATTGTTTGTCTGTTTGTCTGTTTGTCCGGGCTAATCTCCGAATCTATTGGACCGATTTACATGAAATTTTGCACGGTGGTACCTTATATCCCCGGACAACGTCTTAGATATTTTTTATCCCGGAAAATATAATGGTTCCCGTGGGATAGTTAAAAAACTATTATAACTTATACAACTTATGCACCTAGTTTAGTAAAATTTAACATTGTGATACCTTATATTGTCGGTCAAACAACCGGTTACTTTTCATCCGGGAAAAATGAACGGTTCCCGTGGGAACTAATAGATTTTTATTAGTGTTTTTCTAGAGGCGAACCCGAGCGAAGCAAGGGTGAGCCACTAGTGTATAGATATATGTACCTACATTATTTTTAATTGTTTATGTTAAATTGTTAACAAAAATACTTTTCTACTTTAGTAATATGGTATAGATAAAAAACTAAAACCGATCCATTCTCTATAATGTGATTTATATGCCGTATGTACATAGATACTATACACCCCGGATCGTATTTCCTTTAACGTCCAGATTAAGACCGATGAACTTTTGACGTAAAATCAAGATCTATTATTGCTTTCGAAATGAATTGAGAAATTTTCCTGATAATTCCTATTGATACGAAGTATATTGGTCCCTTTTCATTTCTACTTTTGCGAATTGCGTGGGTCTTCTCGTTACGTAATATAAAATATGAAAGTTTTACATTAAATGAAGCTGTTTTTTTGATAATCTCTTGATATTTTCTTTTTTGCATATTAATGTGTTTAAAGTTTTTTTTTAAAATATCGTCCGTCCTTTGCAAGATGGGCGGTGTATAACGTACTTTCTTATGGGCGGTGTGTAACGTAGTTTCTTGTAAAATGTTGTTTTTACTGGAGTAAGTTCCATCTTAATCAATTGCTTCTGCAATAATTATACGAACAATTAAATTAACCACAATGTTCCAATCATTTTAATTTAATTTCCATCTAGAAAATTTGCAACGACAAAATATATAATTTAGATTAAATAATGACTAAATGTAAATTTAACAACTTCTTTTATGGTAACTTATAAAATATTTTCTTTCAGGCACTCGTAGCTCGTGTCCAGAAGGAGAGAGACACTGCTCTCGCTGACGCAGCAAGTAGTCGCGAGCGTGCAGAAGCCGCAGCAGCTGCAGCTAATAGAGCGGCTCGAGACAGAGATAGTGCTGCCACTGAACTTGATGTGTTACGAGAAAGATGGGAGAAGGCTCACCAACAACATCAGAAATTAACGGTATTTATATGAAATATTTGTTTCATGTAATTTATACCAAAATGGGGAAGGTTTAGAAACCTGCTTTGGAAACTAACTATGGATTTTTAACTTACAGATGGAGCGAGACGACGCCCTAACAGAACTAGAAATATTAAAAGAAAAACTTGATAAAGCTCTATATTCCACACAAAAGACCATCGAAGAAAAAGAGACAGCGCACAAAGAATATGAAAAAATGCTTGAAAAGTATGATAGGTACATTATTTTATATGTCGTCTTGTGTTGGTGGCGATGTTCGTAGTAGTTTAGAAAACTTCCTATTTGAATTTACAACGAATGTAATTTTTGAATTTCTTTCACAGATCTCAAAACGAAATCTACCGCTTACAGAACAAGATTGATATTCTTGAAGCTGATAAAGATCGCCTAGAATTGGAGTTAGAGAAAAACGTTCACTTAGCGAATAAATCTAGGGATGACCAAAGGAAAATGCAGGATGAACTTGCTAGAGTACAGGAAATGTATGATAGGGCTTCTTTACAACTTGGCAGGACTAAAGAACAGGAAGAAAAAGCTAAAGAAGATATGGACAGACTTAGTGTTGATATCGAAATGGTTCGAGAACGTTATGAAAAGGGACAAATTGAGTTACGCAGATTACAAGCTGAGAGAGAAAAGTTGATCGCTGATAGCGAACGATTACAATTTGAATATGATCGGGCTATGACACAGTGTGGAAAAGCACAAGCATCGAATGAAAAAACTCAAGAAGAAATGGCAAGAGTACAGATAGAACTCGAAAAGATGTACGACAAACATGACAAAGCTTCATCAGAACTGAGAAGGGTTCAAGCAGAGTTAGATAAGGTTAAAGCCGATGCTAGTGGAGCAAGAGAGGAAGCAGAAAGATATGCAGCTAGATATGGAAAATACCACGACACTAAAGAAGAACATGAAAGAACAAAATTGGAGGTGGAACGACTACGTGCACGGCTTGAGAAGGCAAATCTAGAATTGGAGCGAGCGCGGAAGGCTGAAGAAGAAGTAGTCCGTCTTCGTTCGGAGCTTGAACGCGTCGAAGGCCTCCGAGGTAAATACCAATTCGAACAGGATAAATGGAGTACCGAAATAAATAGACTACAGGCAGAGCTCGACAAACATCGCGAGCGCTACGAGGCATCGCAGGCTGAAATCCAAAGACTGCAAAGTGAAAAGGAACAAGCAGAAACTAAGCTTCATGAATCAAATATTCAACTAGAGTTATCTAAGAGTGAGGTGGCGAAGCTAAGCGGGGCAATGGAGAAGCAACGCACAGATCTTGAACGGGCTCATATTGAGTGCGAAAAGTTTAGGGATCGCTGTGAAAAACTGAAATTGCGTTCAGAGCAACTAGATAAAGATAATGAAAGATTAAAGGGAGAATTGCAACAGATTGAAAGAATGAAACTTCAAGCTGTTGCTGGAGACAAAGCTAGAACTGAAGATAGACTTGAAATTGAACGATTACGTGATAAGTTGGAAAAAGCCATTCAAGCAAGAGACGCAACTGAAATGGAAGCGGGTCGATTGGCTAAGGAACTTGAAAAGTCGCAGATGCATCTAGCTAAATATCAAGAGACTAATGAAACAACTCGTGTTGAGTATGATCGGATGACTAACGAATTAGGTAGAATGCATGAACGATTAGAACGTACCATTCTTGAAATGCGTCAAATTGAACAAGAAAGAGACGCACTTAGGGCTGAAATTCAAAATACAAGACGCAATATTGAACAGCAACAGAGAACTCTAGATCATAGAACACAAGAAACTTTAGTAAAGTTACAGCAAGAATTAGCTCAATCAGTACGAGACAGAGAAAAGATGGCATCTATATTGGAGCAAAGGGATAAACAAGCCGATGCTATTGAGAAACAAATAGTAAAACTCGAAGCAGACACGAAGCAATTGACGATCGAACGCGATCAATTAGTGGCACAATTAGAAAAATCTCAAGATATGTTAGTAAATTTCCAGAGAGAACTGAATTCATCGGAAACAGAATTGCAGAAGCAGCGTGAAGAAGTGCGAAGACTTAAGGAAGAGCAAAGAAAGATTGCTCAAGATTCCGAGAGAGGTGCAAAATCTGTTATTGAAAGTAGGGATAGAGAAATCGCTAAGCTCCAGCAACAAGTTCAATCTGTGTCAAAAGAAAAAGATTCTTACCGACAGAGAGCTGAAAAAGCGGAGAAAGATGCACAGAGGGTTGGAGAAATCGAAAAATGGAAAGCTGCTGTCGAATCAGAAAAGACCAAAGCAATTGCAGCCGAAAAAGCGTTATCGGAATGTCAACAGCGTTTACAGTCTTTGGAGAAACAATACCACATGCAACAGCAACAATTACAGCAGCTTCAAGCGCGAGGACCTTCCGACGTGCGTGAGGTTCAGAAGCAGCTTGAAGCGGCTCAAGCGGAGGCGCGTTCGCTTGCCGTGGAGAGGGAGCGTTGCCAGTCACAGCTCGAGATGCTCGTTCAGGAATTGGAGAGGAGCCAGGTCAGTTGGAGGATCGCCCGAGCACGTGCGGTTGTCGGGACGGCAATGCGTGGTTAAATCGAGTTTGAACTTCCCTTATTGTGATATTTTATATTCAATTTAGAATTTTCATATATTTTTATTCATATTTTAGAATTCTTTGGATGTAAAAAAGAATTTTAGGAAAAAGCTTTATGAAGACTGTATAACTTTATCAGCTCAATTTTGTCATTTTAATGTAAAAACCCCTTAAGTAATAAGATAATATATTGTTAGTTAATAACAATTTGAAAAATATCGCAAAATTGTCTTTGTATATAGCTTTTATCTAAATAAAATCTTTTTCAAAATGTTAACTTAATTAAATTAAAAAAAAATGCTTTAAAAAGGATCAAACTCGATTGAACTTTTATCGATTCGCGTGCGTTGTCTGCTTATATCATTGCACCGGTGTTATGGAGTAGATGTTTTAATTTCGATGTTCATAAATTTAGTTTTTATTTGAGATCATCATCGCCGGTTGTCATGTACATAATTGTTGTATAGTAGCATGCCTCCCACGGCCCGCAGGGCATCCTCCAACCCCTCATTATATATTCGTATTTATTTTATTAGTTCCACCATCGCAACGTATTTGGACGACAATTTCATGAGAATGTACAAAATCATTCGACAAATGCACAAGACATTGCAAATCACACGCGCACTCGTCCAAACACAACCCTTGTTCAGTGTCGTTGTGTCAAATATTCGGTGCAAATAAACGCATTAAGCTTTAAACAGTTCGTTATATAATTCGTCGTTGTTATATTTTCTTGTCTTTTTCAGCCGTTTCCGCTATTCAAGTTTATAATTCATGTTCATGTATAATAAACAAATTCAAGAAACTTATTTTTGTCATTAACTTTGCTGCTGTAATTATACTTTGCCAAGTTTTGTGTAAAAAATTCGCTTTCATTATATGGGGCTTACAAATTATACTTTACATTTAAATTTTTGCAAGCTCTGGCTTAGATACTGATGCTGCTCTTTAATATTCTTCGTTCTCCTTGAACTGCAACAAAATACCATTATAAGGTCCTAATCTATATTTTATCTGAAAACAGCTCGATCTCCGAGAAGCGAACAAGAAACTCCAGCAAGCTGGTACCCAGAGCGCCAAAGCTGGGGAAGATACAGCTCAAGCTAGAAGACAACTGCAAGAAGAATTTAAGAAGTTAGAAGACGCGAGAAAACAATTTGAAGAGAATAGAAGAATGGTTGAAAATAAACGAAAAGACGTGGAGGAAAAAGAGAAGTCGCTGGTGGAGTTAGACAAACAGTTAAAGAAACGAAAAGAGCAAATGGACCAAATGGAAGCATCTTTGAGGAAGGTAATACAAAAGAACCTGCAAACCCAATGAGTTGTGCAAATATGCATATATTGACTAATATTACTTTTCTAGGCTGGCGGAAGTGCAGCAGCGGTAACAGACTTGAATCGAAAATTGGGAGACACACAGAAAGAGGCTGACCAATTGAAGCAACAGCTGAAAACCAGCGAGGAGGAGTCTAAGCGGCTGACAGCAGAGACGGAGCGACTCCTACAGCTTGTACAGATGTCGCAGGAGGAACAGGCTCAGAAGGAAAAACAGATCATGGATTTGCAACAGTAAGCAAAGCTGTTACTTTTTCTAACTACATTAGTAATTATGGTTAATATTTACAATAGAATATCGGACATTTTTTATTAAAAGATATTTTAGAAGCTATCAAATACTAAGTCTAAGCATTAAAAAAATCAACATAGTGCTAGATTCAAACAACCATAAAAAACCATAAGGAAAAGAACCAAATATGCATATCCAACTTATATTGCTTAGCATTACTCTACATACATATGAAATATATTTCAGGTCTGTGAGGAACCTTCAAGCCAAACTCAAAAGTCAGCAACAAGCACAAGCACAAAGAGAAGAGGTAATGTTATTTTTGAGTAACGTTCGTAATTTTAATACTTATTAACACAAGCATTATTAACATATTATTAATATTTGAGTAAAAAGGTATTCTGACTTCACAAGGACCTTTAAAGTAATAGATCCACTGAATTGTGTACCAGGAGACGTCTTGTTTGAATTCGGCCCAAAAACTCTAAATTTCACTATTATGGTGTTTAAAATTTAAGATACAAATATCATGTAACTAATAATATCATTAATTTATTACTAACAATACTAACGAATTATTTTGTTTTCTCTTCCATGCTGCTCCAGGCCGGACCCGCTGGCTTCCTCAAAAGCTTTTTCTAAGTTAGTTCTTCTCACCAAGACTGTCGTTTATTTATTTTCTCTTTTCGTTCAAAGTTTTACTTTAACTGTCGCGTTTACTAACTCCGTGAGCGACCACTCCAGACTCCACGTCTTTCGTTCATACAATTATATCACTAAGCTTTACAATCGCAATTCGTATTAAGTAATGTTATTAAAATTTGTATTGAATATTATAATGAAGTGTTCAGATAATAATAAAGTATCATCTCTTGTTGATATAATCAAAAGAAAAACCATATATACAGGTTTTTAAATTCAGTTCATTGTAACAGCACACAAGTAAGGTAATGCGTTAGTTTAGCGATAATTTTTAAGTGATGTTTAAAAAATTAAATAATCGTGTTCAGCGGGACTTATTTTTTAAGTATTGATAAAAACAATATTGTAAAACTGTTAAGTAATCATGTATCTAGGTAGAACAGTAAGTTGTCCACTAGTCGATGTTATCAGCTTTCAATCTTGTTATGCGAAATATCAATTGACTAATAAAAGGAAATGGTGACCTTTATCGAGTTATTTTTGAGTTTATATTGTTGAAGTTTTGTTACTGAAGTAAAGACAGTTCGTTTTTATTCTTTTTTTTATTTATTTTTTTATTTCATCTTTTCACCCCTTACGTAGGAACTTACGCGAGCCAGACAGAGCGAGATAGCTGCTATCGGTGACTTAACAAACACATTGAAAGAAAGAGACAAACTAAAAACTAAGCTCGAACAAAATAGAATGAAAGTCATAGATTTAGAAATAGAACTTAACGAGTCTTCGCTTATACTTTCCGAGATACTTAAAATTTCAGACAGCCAAGAGCTAATTAGTATAAAGAAAAGTAAAAGTTTTTTCGAACTGCAAAAGAGTGGTAAGGTAGTGGATAGGCTTGACAAACGCAGATTTAGCAGAAGTGTAAACGACTTAAACGATATAAACAAAGATGACGTTCAAACAAACGTATACAAATTGACTAGGAAAATAGCTAACTTGACCGCTGAAATAGAAGTTAAAAATACAAAAATAATAGAACAACAAAAATGTATATCAATATTGGAAGATGCTTTACGAGAAAATAATAATATAGCAGAATTTGAACAGTTACTGGCAGTAGTAAGGAGTAAAGATGAGAGGATAACTGAATTAGAACACTTTGTAAATAAAAAACCTGGTGCTATGTGCACTGTGTACAATGATAAAAGGATTTTGGAATTGGAAGAAGCTCTTAAAGAGTCATTTATGATAGCGGCTGAAAGAGAAAAGGTTTTTTATGAAGAGGAACAGAAGAGAATTGAGACTTTAAAAAAGGTAATATATCACAAAATTTACACTCAATACTGTATCCTAAGTAAAATTTCTTAAATATAAGAAGCCTCTCTGTCAAGCTCTTGTTTTATTTAATGTCTAACTTTTTGAGAAAATTTAATAAAGAACTATAAATTATTCTTATGGACATGGGCCATATTGGAATAGTATCCACGATCCCTCATTTGCTATTAAATAGTTATATTTTTTTTCTACAAAATATAATTACATACTTTAAATTAAAATAACAGGTATAAACTAAAGTAATTGTGTAAGAAAATATGTATACAATATGGTAAATCAGAAATTAATAACTTCCAGATGAAAAAGATGGAGCAACGTATCCTGTCCCTACAGAACGCGTCAATAATGAGCTGTGAAACTTGTTCATTAGTTCTGAAGAGGCTGAAGCGATTGGAACAGTCGTATCAAAAATGTCAGGCGAAGAGGAATGCGATACTGCGGCATTTGTCGCATGTCATGTAAGTAATTTAGTTCAATTTAATCAATATTGATATTTCCGAAATATAGTCTACTCCATTCTACGTGACATTGGCGAAGTAATCTGTACTCAACTGGCACGTTTTGAAGCTATTAACAAGATAATTGAATTGAACTGAATTCCGAAATAACTTTATATGTTTGTCAAAATCTATACTAGCAATTTGAAAAATATCTAATGTTGAGAAGAAGTACCACTCTTAGAAACACGTTAGACCTTTAAAAACATTTGAATTCCTTTTATTGATATTTTTTATTAGAATTAAAGATGTAAGACGGTAGGGCGTTGTGGCATATTTCTAAGTAGCACTGCTTTTGTATCGGAAATCACAAACAACTACAATTGAATAATTGTATGGTCTTTAAGACCGCCAAAAGGGTACTTTTAACCATTTTTATAATGCGAGTAGACAATCTATGACATTTTATTATTCTGATCATTAAACTAAGCGAATTAGCTATGATACTAGTATGAATAAAGGCAAAAGTACTGTTAATAACCTATGGATATAAATACTTCATGGTCTTGAGACAACCTACAGAGAAGTAAAACTACAATAAATTTTAAATTGTATTTAAAGTTTGATAACATATTGTTTAATGGTAATTATTTTTTTTATTATAGCCAAGATTTACTCGAGCAATCGATCAGTGAGAAGGACACCCAGATAGCAGAGCTCGAGATAAAAGGCGTTCTAGATGAGAATGACAGCAAAACCTGTGACATACTTAAAGATGAAAGAGACAAACTGCTCAATAGACTTAAGATTGAGGTGAGGTGAAAAAATGATTCTTTTAATCTCAAAAAACCACTTGATGTACAATGTACTTTTTTTAACAAAGCGCCAATTTTAAAATCACTTTAAATTATCCTTCTTTAGAGGTGGAATAGTTTTTGATGTGAAACATCTAATGCGGCGAGTTAAACCGGCTGTTGGCGTGGCGCGTCACCATATGTCCACGCGCTCGTAGCTCTCAGACTCTCTTCCCACTCGGCTCGGCCGATCCGTCCTCCCTCTCTCTCACGACGTTGAGCTAGTATTTTTTATTATTATTTAATTTTTAATGTTGGTACTAAATTAAGATGTATTTTTTAAATAAAGATTTTTTCTTTAAAAAACCTAAACGTTTTGTTTTTAATTATGTCATATTTACTGCTTTTAAAAGCCATGCTGTCATGCATATTTTCTATACAAAATTGTTTAGATGTTTCACATCTGCCAGGCGTTCCTTGACGGCTTTAACTTTTTCTTTTGTACTTTACATGAGTGAGATACTTTTCAAATTAAAAACTATTAATTAAAAATGATCATGAAAATAGGTTTATTTATAATTGACGAAATATCCTTCTAACCCATAAAATAATATTTACATTTCAGAATGAACAATTGGTGGAATTCGAAAGAGACTCTAGCGAGCCAGAACAAGAGATCGCTTTGCCGATATTGACGCTCGCCGACGACCTCATATCAGTCTGCGAAGACAATGTAATTGTTTGGGTATCGTTGTATAAAGTATTGAGAATGCGAGTGATTTGACTAATTATAAAATTAATAATATTTTTTTGGTAGGTACCGGAAAATATTCATGTAATTTCATTAATAAACATTACTTCTAGGTAGAAAATGATGACACAGATTAAATATGTACAGATGATTTTAATCGATTAAACTGTTTTATCGATTTTTTTTTACAATTCGTTATAACTTTGAATACCCTCAAAGATAATTTCATCAATAACATTATTCATATCATCTAGTTTTATTGATTTTTTAATATTTTTTAATGTTTTTTTTTATATTAATAATAATACGAGTATGAGTTTGCTTTACAAAGACCTTCGGCACGTTTTATATACATATATGTAATTACTTTTGTAAATATATTAGCCTACATTACTTTAAAGCTAGGAGTGGTTGCAAGTATTTTAAAGGCCTATTTGTATTCAAATAAATTATAATTAGGTACATTTTAAAAATTCTAACGTTGATTATGATCTAAGGACGACATGTTGCCAAAAACTACACCAGAAGGAAGTACGTTTTTATTTAAAATTAATCTTTTTACAGGAAGAGGACATACCAGCAACCGTACTGTGACGTCACAAAGCTAAGTCTAATAGTAAATATGTTGTGTCATCCATTTCACAATCACGCTACCTTACCATTGCTTTTCACAGCCTTCCCGCCTAAACAACAAAAACCCGCTTGCCATTTCTAAAAAACGTTCAAAAACCGCGCCCTACGACCAAAGAGGTTTATTTGTAAATAAACATTTAATTTTTTAATATTTAGTTTCATTTTTATTTAGTTTTAAGGTCGAAGAGAATATTTTTGATCGATTGATATGGAACCAAATTATTTATATACCTATTTTATTATAGATTACCAATTGTTAAAATGTATACCTATATAGAGCAATAATTTAATCGTCTATACGAGATTCACACTCAGTGTCTATTTTTATCTTAAACTAGTCAAATTTATAAATGTTTTACAGCTTCATATGATTTACCTTTGTTGATCGATGTTATTGTTTTATTGGGTACTATGGACTGGAGACCTTTGCTCACATCCTCTACAGATTTATTTATTACGTATATATTTGTCATTCAATTAGCCGTATATATAAAAAGTCACGATTATTTTAGCCGCAAAGCCTAGCTATTACACGGTTTTGTTTAGAATATTAAAGATTAAATTGCAAATTTAGTAAGTTTGAGTAGATTTCGTAATACGTTTACATATCAAGCACAAATTGAAGTCCGAAGAGAACGGTCGGCATATCATTATTTATTAGCTTCAAAGGACGCTATTGTTAAAGAGCCTTTACATTGTCAAAGCACTGCCTTATATTCTAAGGAAATTGAATTTTTGTTAAAATTTAAGCGAGTGAATGCGAACATTGCACTGGAAAGATGTCCGCTCTCAGAAGTAGGTATCGCGTCGAAGTATCGTTTCCCACGGGATGTAACCACTTCCGTTTCGGCAGCTAAAGTTTAAACTACCGTATTTTATAAATGTATCGTGAGCTTTTTATAAATATCTTTACAACTGTATCGCCATTGTGATACGTCGGCGACATCCAAAATCCAATATATGAATTGTTTAATCCTAAGAAATAATTTTAGCCTAGTCAAATGAAATCCCTATTAATGTTATATAATTATATTTTTATTGCTGTTTTAGGCAAAGCTTTAAATGCAACTCTCCCAATTTCATAAATTGGATTTTTAGCCGAATTGTAACATCGAGAGATCTCAATTTTTGCCGTTTTACTACTTGTTAGGACTATGGCCACTTTCAAATACATTAAACTAATAGATTTAAATAACCGGAAGTTAATGTTATATAATGATTTATGATTGTTTTATTTATTTTAATTTTATGATAATTTACGGGTCCAAAATGGCCATCGTCCTTCTTAGCCGTTAAGCTGTTAATTTATCTTCGACGTTTGCTGGAAGAGATGTTGGTGTCAGCAAACTGGCTTTTTATACTCAATACATGTCGCTGAATGTAGTGTTTATGGTAGGTTGGGCATAGACAAGCTGCGGCGTTCCGTTGACGTCGAAATTCAATTGAAACCATTTGTTTTTCCTATCTATTTGCTTTATGTGTAATATGAGAACGTTGCAGCTTCCTTTTGTATTGAAGTGTGTAGAAATTGTATGATCACAATAATTATGATATTAAATTATATTAGTTACTTGTTACATATTATTATAAAGGTATAAACCGTGGGTCGCTGTTTCACACGTTGTATTGACCGAAACTATGCTGAAATATAAGAATACATGTTCTTTGGAAATATAATATCTTCATATAATATATTTATGTGTTTTTGTTCACCATATGACCTTCTCAATCCTTCTCTCCTTTCTGCCTTCTTGTTATTAATGTATGAAAAAATTTAATTTGGAACTTGTGAATGAAGAAAACAAATCAAAGATTATGCCAAAAATGGCTTTAGGTGAGAACAATTTTTTTCGTCAAAGACACGTTGGATGGAGGATGTCAAATTTAAAATATACCTACTACCGAGAGTTACTACCACTACCTACTTACTTTACCTTAAATCCATATCCGTTCTTATATTATAAATGTGAAAGTGCGTTTCTTTGTTTGTTTGTTTGTTTGTCCTTCTTTCACGTCGAAACGGAGTGACGGATTGGCGTGATTTTTTGTGTGGAGATAGTTGGAGGGCTGGAGAGTCAAATAGGATACTTCTTATCGCGGGAGATTTCTTAATTTCCACAGGAAAACACGTTATAATACAACCCAAAAAAATATTTATTATCAGAATTACTTGGAACTTAATATATATATATGCTCTTCATTAAAATTACATAAACACGTGTCTTGGCATTTTTCAAAATTTATCCTAAAAGGGGGTAAAATAGAGGATGAAAGTTTGTATGAAACTACCTTTTTAAAGATTTTTTTGTAGTTTTAGCGCGAGTGGAAATATAATTGTACACAATAATATTAACAATGCAAAGTTACAAAATAGCCTTATTTGTAAAATTTATACTGATATTAACTGATTTTTATTTTTGTTAGTTTGCCCAATTACAGCGCCATCTATCCAGTTTTATTAAAATGACAATGTGTAGTAATAGGAGTATGAAGCAATACTCGCTACTCACCAATAGATGTCACTAGTTACAGTAAATCTTAATTATTATATATGCGTTATTTATATATAATAATTTATAACTCATATACATATTTATACATTTTTAAAGGTGGAAGAAAACTAAATAATTAATAAATTATTTTTAAAGTTACGATTGAATAAACTTTATTTCAAATTGTATTTTAAAGAAATGTTTTATGAATATAAAATAATTATAAATTGCTTCTTGATTTATGTTTTTTATAAAATAATATGTAAAAAAAACATAATATTTTGTTGAATGTAGGTATCATATTAAAAATGCTTACGAATTTGTATTATTAAATGCAAAAATTAAACCTAATTACATAATTACAAAATTACAAAACATAAAAAATACATTTAAGTACATATTTTTAACAAAATTAAAAAATACTTACAATAATTTATTCTTTTAATGAAATTTTCAAGTTGCTATATTTAAAAGAGACAAAATTAAAATTGTCTTCATATTTATATACTAAAAAATGTAGGGATATAATAATATAATTAGTTTAGATTTTTTGTAATTACAGTGTATTTTCTCTCGCATGTAAAGTATTTATTACGTAATAAATCTAGAATTTATTGAATTTTAACCTTTTAAAATTTTGTAAGTACGTACACTCACCCTCGCTCCGCTCGGGTTCGTCCCTGAAAATCTAGGTTCGTATGTATCTTTTAATGCCGAATCATAAAAAAAATTAGTGTTAGTGTTATTATTAAAAAAATATGTAGATATTAAAAGTACACAGGAAAATCAACAAAAACTCGATGAAAATATTAAAATTTAATAAGAAATACTAACAATTAATGAAATATCCGCAAAAGTCAAATTGTATTAAAAAATTTAATCAAAAGACCTCGCTTACCTTCAGTTGCACGCAGCTGTTGAGCAGAGTCTGCATACAAAAAATTAAACAATTACAGCTAACTTACCTGTTCATGAGAACTATTTACTTTGCAAAAGGCGTTTGCTTATTTAAACTTCTAATATATTAAAAATACTAAATATCATATACATAAGTACATATATATGTACATACATAATAATATAAAGCCGAAATATTAATATAAAATTTTAAGCAGTATATGACATGCCTATTTCAATTACTAGATTAAAAAAAGTTAAATGAAAATTAAAAAAAAAAAACATTTGGACGCAATGTCCAGTACAAACAACTAAAATGAGTGTCAAATTTTGACATTTCCTATTTATGTATGTATATCTAAACCATAATAAGATAAGACGACCATAAAAATGTGAAGCCTTGGCTCTTTTATTTAGTGACTTGATCATGAGTGTGTATTCGATTTACGGGTAAATGAAGATACGGTATGGAGATAGACGAAATTAATATGTAAGTATAGATTATAAATTCGAATTAATATAATAAATTTAACGAATACATTTGTCTGAGGGAACCTAGCAAGTTTTCGAAAGACATGTGAAGTCCGCCAACCCGCACTTGGTCAGCGTGGTGGACTATGGCCTGATACCCCTCGTTTTGAAGGGAGGCCCACCCCCAGCAGTGGGACGTTAAAAAAAGTTAAATAAACATATGTCCATACATTTGTCTTGATGTTTCAACCAATATTCATAAAATTTTGCCTATAGTATCTTTAAGGTCATAGTTGCTAGTTTTATATATTTTGATGTACTTCTTATTTAATATATTTAAATATACCTCACTAGATCAGTGTATCCCATAGGAAAGTAAATATTATACAAACGAAATAAAACCACTAGTACTTAAAAAAGTTACACAAAAAATATATTAAAAAATAGTATTTATTTGTTTTGTCACCAGTACGTATAGTGTGTACTGTGTCGGCGGAAGCGCTGCCGGATACAGGTGCGTGTGAGTTCCGCCGCGACAATATTCAACTAACCAGTCGTTTTGTACCTTTTACTATTTACTTTTACTTATTATACTATTACTTCTATATACAGGCGAAAAACTCATTAAAGAAATTTATTTCTTACTAGCGGCTCACCCTTGCTTCGCTCGGGGTCGTCTCTAGAAAAACAAATCTATCCCACGGAATCCGTACATTTTTCCGGGATAAAAAGTAGCCTATGTGTTATTCTTCTATATCTAGCTATATTAATGTAAAGTTTCATTAAAATCAATTCAGTAGTTTTTGCGTAAAAGAGTAACAAACATCCATACATCTATACATCCAAACATCATACGCGCAAATTACATTTTTTCAATCAATTACAATTATTTTGTTTTAATTTGACAATTCTAGGTATAGCTAAAATAAGAATATTTTTTCATATTATACTTAAGGAACCTTACAAAAATATTAATAGCTTTTTGTTTTATATTAGTTTTCAATGCTCAGTAAAAATGTATATACTAATTTTATTTATAACCTGTGTAATAGCTGGTTCGATATTAATTTTATTACACCTGGTTAGTGCATCCCTTAT